TGTGTCTGCGTGTCTGTTCCTAACGCCTCAGGCATCATCGACGCGCTGCGGGACAACTGGGACAGGTGTGACCTCGACCGCCCCCGATCCACCACTTCCGTCGACCCCTGTGACTTGAGCACGCCACCCGAGGCGCGTCAAGTGTGGCTCAAGCCCAACGGTGAGTGGCTGCCCCGCGGCTGTGACATCGCCCTGCTGCCCGCGGTCATCGATGAGGACAGGCGCAACACGCCCCTGAGGAACTTCTTTCGGAAGCAGTTCTTCCGTCCCCCGGTCGAGCGGCAGATGGTTTCTTCCGGCGAGCCCGTGAAAGGGAGCTGCGCCTTGGTCTACTACGATGGAGTGTTGCAGCTGACCGTCCCCTATGTCCCTATTGGGTGCAGCCCGCAGGACAAGACGGTGGCCACGTGCCTCTACTGCGCCAATGGCGTCATGTGCGGCAAGCAGACCACCTACAGGAACATCGTCAACTCACACCTGGGACTCACGCACGGGCTCTCCAAGAAAGGGAAACGAAGGACAAGGGAAAAGAAGAAACGAGCGGGCCCCCATGTGAGACAGATCGAGGGCAACACATCACCTAACGACCCGACCGCTGCACACACGCGCATGTTTGTGTGTGTTTGTGTGTGCGTGTGTGCCGGCGCAGAGGCCCAGGAAGTCGGTGGTTGCGAGAGATTCGTCGGATGATGACTTTGACGACTCGCCAGTGGCCAAGCCAGGCGGACTGGCCGGTGCCCGCCGTGACCCACCCCCGTTGCTTGATGCCGGTAAGCACACAGATCGATCCCCAACGCCACTCCTCACACTTCAGTCATGTCATGCACTCTTCCCTGGTCGGTCTGTAATCAGGTGACGATGCTGACCATGAGCTGCCGGCAATGCCCATTTGTCCCTCCACCCCCCGCGCCCCCCCAGTGGCATCGCGCGCCGCCCCTCACCCCCGATGTGACCGGACAGAGGTTGCTGTCATCGGCCAAGGCGACACGTGCGACATGGCGTCACTTACGGACGAGGCAGTCAGCATTCGAGGCCTGCAGAACTGGATGCACGCCCTGGCGATGCTCCACCGCTCCCATCGGCTGACGCCGGGCACCGGCCGGTCGCCCTTGCTGCTGCGGGGCGGCAGCGATGCGGCCGATCTGCATGTCTTGTTTCGGCACCCGCTGCTGAGGGTCAGTGACGTGGTGTTGCAGCTGCGGGCCATCGACGTTGAGACGGGAGAGTGGCTGGCAGCGCCGCATGGCACGGCCGTGTCGATGGTGGTGCGTAGGGACCGGAAGAAGCTGCTGCCGCTTCAGCTGAGTGCCGTTTCTGAAGAGGTGATGACCATCTCACCACCTACACCCCCCATGAAGGACCAGAGGGGCCACCACATCCCCTACCAGATCGTGGCGGTCAGGGCGCAACCCGACGGGGACACTGCTGCCCCAGAGGCGGTGTCGCGTCTGATCTTCTTCACCGACGACGGGCCGCCTGATTCTTGGCCGCCCATCTCCCTGGCTGAGCTCAGCCTGCCTGCCAGCAGCTGCCCTTTCACCATCGGCCCGAGAGGGCTGTGGCAGCCGACCAAGAGCGGACTCTACCCGATCGCGACAACGCTCCGGCTCCCGGACATCGTCAACACACGGGATCTGCCCGCTTCCCTCAAGCGGACTGTCTCCCCGGGGCAGAGGTGTCCGGGCGGATTCAAGATTGTCGGAAATGTCGCTGTTTGCGACCTGGACTTGGGTCAGGTGGTGTGGAGCATCCAAGGGCGGCTGAGGGAGGCATCAGAGATGCCCATGGTGGATGTGCTCGCAGTCACCCACACCAATACTGACAGGTGGCCGGGGGTGCGTGACGTGCCGCTGCGGGAAATGTCGGACGCGCACCTCCTCTACTCGGCCCTCACAGCCAGCTTCCGCCACTGGCCCCTCGCGGCTCCCAACTTCATCCTCGATCCTGAAGGCCGCCTCTTCCAGCCGCTGCCCATGGAGTGCACGCGCTTTGACGCGTCATCGCCAGACCGAGCCGCCGACCGCAGAGCCATCACGGTGATGGTGCTGAACCGTCCACAGGACGACGGAAACGGCACCCACCGGCACATGTCGATGACGCAGCAGCAGTTGGGGAGCCTCAACGACCTGAGTGAGTCGCTAAAGCGGCTCTTCTCCGGCCTGAGCATCCAGCTCACCCTGGCGGCGGGCAGCGGCCGCGAGCGTCTTCGGGAGGTGCACAGCCAGGTGCTGGAGGGGTCGGGTCTGTGGACGGGTAGGGATGCCGGCAGGTGCCTCATGACGCTCTGGGAGGCGACAAAGGACACTCCCGGCGATGTGGAGGTGCTCATGCAGGTGGCCGAGCAGTGCCGAGACCTTGTCATCGACGGCTCTGATGAGGGCGGTGTGCGGCGTCTGTGGGAGAAACTCCACCTCCACCCCGATCTCCCATTCCAGCTGGGTCGTCGGGCGGCGAGCCTCAGGAGCGTCGAGCTGGTCTGCCCGCGCGGCTGTCCGGCGTGGTGTCAGAGCGTCGTCTTCGCTATCAAGAACGGCCGGGCCAGCGCGGCGACGATGGATTTACTGGTGGTGAAGCAGAGGAGCGATGGAGATCCTGCTGCCGGTGCTGAGAAACCCTTGGCATGCTCGCCTGCAGTCGGCACAACCACAACCACAACCACAACCACGAGCATCTTCCCATCTCTGCACCAGCTAACCGGCGGGGCACAACCACACCCCCCAGGCAACAGCAGCATCACCACCAGCCGCCCAGCAGGAGGGCCGCTGGCGCCAAGAGCATTGCCAGGTACACGGAGAGACATATCATACAAGAGAGCCGCAGCCAGGAGAGAAAGTAGGATTTCACGCTGGCTGTGGATTCGCGCGGTTTGTGTGCAGTTGCTGTGTGGTCCGCTCCTCCCCGGCAACGGTACGTCCTTGCGCACCCTCCTCGCCTGCTGGCCCGTGGGCTGCCGCTCCTGTCGGGTGCCTTTGGTGCTCACAACCGGGTGGTGGCCAACGCCGTGAACGGCGGATTCCCCCGACGCAGTGAGGAGCAAATAAATGGTCGGCAACCTGCCGCCAGCAGCGGCAAGATGCCGGCCGCGGAGCAGAAGAGCCCCAAACGAGGCGCGCAAGACGCACAGGTACGTGCCATGCCGGGCACACTCACTGGCTGATCGGGGATGCTCACTGTAGGCACAGCACATGTCTGACGGCTGTGGTGTGGTGTGGATGGATGGATGGATGGATGTGCTGCAGCTTCCGTGTTGTGATGAGCCGAGGGCCAAGCAGCAGAGGGCCGACGAGGGGTGCCACAGCGCCTCCCTGTTGACCCAGCAGGACGTCCCTGCCCACCTGCTCGTCACGACCTCTCCTTGGGCCAAGGGAGGAGAGTAATGATTAACTTAACGGGGTTCGTTGGTTCGTTTGTTTGTTTATTTGTGTGTGTGAGTGAGTGAATCTGACAGACTCACTGGCTGTCTGGCTGATGAGTAACACACATGAGTGAGAGGGAGGGAGACAGGTGCCTGCATGTGGATTTTTTGCGTGCTGCTGTGTGTGCTGTGCATGCCGGTGGGAAAATGCATCGCTTCGGGAAAAACGCAGGTCGCTTTCTTTGAAGAAATGTCTCATTCGCTCCTTGCAGGATCCCCTCCCCCAGTTCTCTGCGAGCTTAGAAGAGGTGATCAGATCCCCATCCTCCCAGCATGCATCGCGGCATCGTGTGTGGCGGCGCTTTCCCGCTGGCCATCAGCGTGCTCCTTGTGCTGCTGCTGGCGGCGGCGGCTGGAAGCGCGGCGCAGGATCTCATGCCCGAGGAAGCGCAACTTCCGGGACGTGCGACGAACGATACCAGCCCATCTCAGGCAGCCACTGAAGGTGGGAGGGGTCGGGAGGGGAGGGGCGAATGAATGGATCTGTAGATCTATCTGTCCGTGTGTGTCACTGACAGGCGCTCCATCGTCCCGTGCAGCAGCTGGTCTCCGTGGGCTTCAGTATCCGAGCCGGCCTGTGCAGATCCCGGTGCCGCCAGCACGTGGCAGCTCACAGGCGTGCAACCACCTCTCGTATCAATGCCTCGGTGTGGTCAATGCTTATGGCCAGGGAGCGGGGTGCGCCGTGCAGGTCAACTCAAACAGCCTATCGCAGACACTGCCGTGGTGAGAGAGATGGCCTGGCGGCAGAATTATTGGCACTTGAACGAAGTCAGGGGATCTTCTGTGTCACTCACAGTGTGTGTGTGGGGTCGTGTGTGTCAGGTGTTATGCGTCGTGCGCGTGCCCGTACGCCGCGAGCAGTCTGCTGATGGTGAATCAGTGCTACGTCTTCAACTGCTGCCCGCGGCTCGGCCAGCGGGGAAACATGCTGCTCTCGCCACCATAACCATTGCAGACAGACAAACAGACAGACAGAGGATGCCGAGAGAGCGATGCGACTCCTTTTTCGTCTGCGTGAGCTGAGTGGAAATCAAGGCTGTTTATCGGCCGGTGTCATCCGCTGTGCACTGGGCTTCTGTGCTCCGTTGTGTGTGTGTGTGAGAGTGTGTGTGTGTGACCGATCGGTCAAGCTGCGTGTTTCGTTTCGTTCTTTTTGTCGCGCCGTGTGAGAGCGTCGGCGCTTTGCTCTCTCTGGGCGTGTGTGTGAGGGGGTGGAAGAGACGGTCACGTACACAACGGTGTATGTGTGTATTGTATGTGGGCTGGCAGAACCGTCTCGTGACGGATCATTGGACACTCATGAGGTGATGGGCGAAGTTGTTGGCGAGCTGCATTGGATTGATGGTATCAATCATCCTTCCTCGGTCATTGTGTTGTGTCACATCGTCTCAGCAGTAAGCGCCACACGCACACACACAGGAGAGACGAGAGATAGAGAGAAGAGTGAAGAGGTAAGCGAGAAGAGAGGAGAGAGTCCACAGACACAGACACACACATATTGTCCATTCGACAGACAGACAGACATGGATGGCACCAAGGCAAGGCACGAGGCGACAAAAAGTGCATGGGATGACGACATGACGACGATGAGAGGTCTCTCTGCAGCATATCATGGCCATGCCATGGTGGGCGGATGGATCGGCAGATGAGATGGATGTAAGCACACACGAACCCCCCGCCATGTGTGCAGGCAGGTACAGTAAGGGGTACAAATACTCACACACACACACACAGACACGCTCGGACACTGCACAACAGAGAGAGAGACAGAGCGAGGGAGATGGGATGAATGTCATGGCATGGGCATGTCTCGCAGGCAGTAAGGCAGGCAGCATCAAGAAAGTGGCAAAATGCAGACAGACACGACGCGCACACGAGGCACACACACACAGAGGAAGATGGCCGGTCAGGAGGATGAAAGCGAGCAGTGTGAGATCGACTGTGAGATCGGGGTGCCTTCACACACACCCTCTCACTCACGCAGCACGCACGCACACACACGGACACACACACGGACACACACACGGACACACACATACACACACGCAGACACACACACAGAGCTCTCAAGACTGCTCCATCCTCACTTGGCCGCCCTCCCCATCCATCCAGCCATCCATCCATCCATCCATTCTCTCTCTCTTCGCCACGGCAGCACGCAACACGCTGCAGGTGGGGAAGATACAGACAGACACACACACACACACACACGGTCGCACACGCACTCGTACGGACACACCAAGTACGCTTACAAAAAACTGGCCGGCCGCTCCGGAGGTCTCCCGCCCGCAAAACGCCCCGTGCGCGCGCAGACGTGACGTGACGCCCCTGTGTGTGTACGTCTGGTCTCTGTGTGTGTGTGTGCATGGAGTCCTGTCGGCCACCCGACCCGACCCGCCCATGGCTGGGATGGTGGCGCCAGGGAAAAAATTAGAGTGAGTGGCAAAGAGAGAACTATGAAGGAACCAAGGCAGGAAGGTCTGTATAGAACACAAACAATCGCCGGCTACGAAAAGCCCGTCGACCAATGAATGAACTGACAACCAACAACACCAGACACGCAGGCAGGCAGGCAGGCAGGCAGGGGCAACGAGTCGTCTCTCTGTCTCCATTCGGGCGTCTCTTTCGTCACGCCTCGGTCCTCTCTCCCTTCGTCCGCAGGCTCTGCGCCACTCACCCTGACAGCGTAGGAGCGCCGTCAGCGTAAATGCAGCAGGTGCTGCACACGATGGGAGGGAGGACACGACCGACACGCACACCACACAGGTGAGGTGAGCCACATCCATCCATCACATCAACAACCAACATCACTGGCCGCCCCACACCATGCCATGCCGGCCACAGCCAGTCAGTCAGTGAGAAGGTAAGAAGAAGCAAGTAGGTAGGTAAGCAAGTATGTAGGTATGTAAGCCTCCAAATATGGACGAAAAAGACTCAGTCGACATCAGATCGGCCAGCCGGTCAGCCAGCCGGCCGGATGCGCTGAGGCAGGCGGACAGACAGACAGGCCTCTCTCTTCTTGTGTCGTGTGGGTTCTGATGTGTGCAGGTGGGGGATAGACAGATGTGTAGGAAGAACAGTAAGGCGCCAGGCAGGGCAGTCAGGCTGGCTGATGAGCAAGGAAAAAGACGCCCGCCCGTCCGGTGCGCTCTCTTCTCTTCCCATCCCGATTCCCGTGTCAGTCAGTCAGTCAGTCAGTCGTATTTACACACGCATCCCCCCACTCTCCCCCTCTCTCCGATCACTCACTCGTCTGCACCAATGCGCCGCGCCCCAGACAGCCTACCCCGACCATCCCCATTGCCCCCATTGCCCCGCCCCGGCATGTTCACCAGGCACACGCGCGAAGAATACACACAAGGAAAGTCAGATATTGGAAAAAACTCGTATCGACCACTCCTATGTGCACAACAGGAGGCAACACACACACACTCACACACACAAAGACACACACACACACCGAGATACACAGGCCGTCAGTCATGGGTGCGATCCCCCCTCTCCCCCTCCCCTCCCCCCTCCAGCTCTTTTCCTCTGTCCAGATGAGCGTGTTGTGTTACGTACATGCGGGCAAAATTTGGTGCTCGTGGCGGTGGGGTGGCGGTGGTGGTGGTGGTGATGTGTGTGTGTGTGTGGATCTACAAGTAGTAGGGTCACACGAAAAAGTGTAGCAGCAGACGAGGCGGGCAGGCGAGAAGGATGGCTGCAGTGGGTGAGTGCACTTGGGTGTGTGCGCGGGGGTGGGGTGTCTGTCTCCGCCATATACGATCATAGATGAAAAATTGGCCTGTAAGTCTGTGGTGTGCGTGCCTGTCCTGATGGAGCGAGTCGTCAATCAGGTCGCCCTGCCTACACACAAGACTGTCCTCGTCTAGCCTAGCTGCTCTAGGCGGGATCTGTCTGCTCATCTCACCACACACACTCACACCCACACACACCACTGCATCACTGCATCATCACTCAGGTTTCCCCACTCCCTCCCTCCCCCGAGCCCCCACGATCGCTCAGGTAGTCAGTCCATCACGCAGACGTGTCATGCTGCATGCTGTGTGTCGTGTTGTTTTGTGTGTGTTGGTGGTGTTGGTGGTCAGGTCAGGTGATAGAGTAGACTGTACTCTATAGCGGGACCGTCGCCACGCCTCACACACGATCGTAGTGATGATGATGATGATGGTCATAACCCTGATGGTCGCATCCCACACCCACACCGACACCCCATCCATTCATCCATCAATCCATCCATCCAGCGAGTGTCGCCACACGAGTCATGGAACCAACTGGTCGCCTGCCTATCTCCCTGATGCGGGCAAAATAACACCGTTGCGCGTCTTCCGTATTCCGTTCTATGACACCCACCCCCGCCAAACACCAGACAAAAGCGTGCTGTCTGTGTCACGTCGGGTCATGTGATGGTATGCTGTGTGGCGGCCGGCCAGCCAGCCAAGCCCAAGTGCCAAGCCCAACCGCCATGCCAGTAAGCCGCAAAAATGAAAAGCTACGGATACAGATGTTATGTGCATAAGAGTATGTGTGTGTCTGTGTCTGTGTCTGTGTGGTGGTCGGCCAGCAAGCCATACGTGCGAAGCGTCTGTGTCCTCTGTGTCCTCGTGTGTGCTTCTCTCGGACCGGCTCCCGCCGCCGCACGCTCGGTGCAGCCAGAGCGCTGATGCCAGTGCCCTGCGCACAGATGACCTGCCGCCACAGAAGTAGGCAGTTCCGAGGGAGAGCACAGAAAAGACACAGCCACAAGAGGTGAAGCATCAGCCATTTCCCCCCCAACCCCCCAGAGAGTGCTCGTCGCGTCCCTTTCTTTCTTGTAGCAGCATCCACACATATCGCTCACCCACCCCTTCACGCGCTCACTCGTTCGTCAGCTCATCGACCTGTCGGCAGCAGGTAGGCATGAATTGACCATCCATTCATCCATTCGTCCATCCATCCATACCAGAAGTGTCCTCCCCTCTCCCCCTCTCCACCACCCCCACCCTCCCTCCGTCCTTCTCCCATTGTGGCCCACGTCAGCCATTCATGAAGCATGCAGCAGGCAGACTGTTCGTTCGTTCGTTCGTTCGTTCGACAGACAGACAGACAGACAGACAGGGAGACACAGGGCAGCAAAATGGTAGGTATGGGCTCGGAAGCTCGGAAGCAGTGAGTGAGTGAGTCAGTGAGTGATTCATAGCAAAATCTCGACGCAGCATCGATCCACACGCACACACACATACACACATATACACACACACACACACACGCAAACACACGCACGCACGCACACACGGCACACCACACCCACTCTCCCCTGCCCTCCCCTCGGCCCCCGTTATCGGTGTCCACACTTCGCACGCACGACCATTCATTGATTCGTCCTGACTGACCTGTTTGTTTGCTTTGCTTTGGGATAGCGTTACGTAAGCCTCCCGTACGCACACAGACAGACAGACAGACAGACAGAGAGACAGACGGGCGAGTAGATCGACAGGTAGACAGGTAGACAGGCAGCCAGCCAGGCACACGTGACGATGGCACAGACATGTAGGCCAGCGAATCGCATGAGGCAGTGAGGCAGTGAGGCAGTGAGTGACTGAGCGAGTAGTCACTGAAGAGCAGCCCTTCCCCTCCCCATCCCACCCCCTCCCGCCGCCCGTATAATGCGTGCCAAGAGGCATGTCCCCTCCCTCCCTCCCTCCCTCCCTCTCCACCACTTCGACAGACAAGTAGGCAGACAAGTAGGCTATGGAATCAGTCAGTCAGTCAGTCAGTGAGTCAGTCAGTCGATCGCGCAAAAGGCCCGCGTCAAGCGGGCGGAAAAGCCAAAAGACCAACAGATGAAGGAAGGGATGAATGGATGGATGGATGGATGAACCAATCGACCAGCCACCCACCCAGGGAGGCAGCCAGTCGAGAGGAAGGAAGGAGTCAATCGAGGCGGCCGGTCGTCCAATCCAATCGCACCACACACACCAAGAAACGGACAGAAATACACACAGGAGGGGTGGGGGTGGAACATACATATCAGGTCGGTCGCAGACAGACAGACGGGCAGAAAGCATGCAGGCGTATGAACGGACCGGAGACAGACCTTTCCAGCCTCTCCCCCCTCCCCTCCCTCCCTCCCTCCCTCCCTCTCTCCCTCCCTCCCTCTCTCCCTCCCTGTCTCCCTCTCCCACCCTGATACGCACCGACCAGTGCCTTGGGCCATGCCTCAGGCTCCGCAGTCTCACCTATGTGTCTACTGCCTCGCAGGCAGCGGGCTGTGGGGGTGGGTGGTGAGTGAGTGCATCAGAGTGTCCACCAGACAGTTGCCTCGGGGCGGACCAAAAGCGGACAAAACACTCACACCCACACCGACCCACACCAGACGCAAACCGCTAGGCAGGCAGGCAGGCACTACAAAACGGTCGGTGCGCATGATGGATGGGAGCACCCGTGACAGAGGGGGAGGGGGGATCGAGGGGAAGAGCAAGCTGCGCCGCCGGCGATTCTTGTCTCATGTAGGGGGGCTTGCACTACTTGTGTGCGTGGTGTGGGAGAGAGGCAGGCAGGCAGGCAGGCAGGCAATGTCTGGACAGCAGTGGGTGGGAGAGAAGACGGGCAGGCACACAGAAAACCACTCATCGCACTCATACGGACAGGCAAAACCACGCACACACACACACACACACGCTCACATGTAGACAAGGTGTGGTGTCCGTCTGTATCACTCACTCAACGCCCTCTCGGCTGTGACAACAAGCTGTGTGAGCGATGCCATCCCATGCATGCTGTGACGGTGTGGTGTGATGTCATGTGATGTTGATGTCATGTGATGTCATGTGACTGATGGTGGTGGGTGGGGCAGTGGGTACCTGCTTGCTTCACAAATACAGTACACACATGCCATGCCGGCCGGCCAGACCACCACAACACACAACACACAACACACAACACGCGACACACGATAGACAACCAGACAGACAGACAGCCAGACGAACGAGCAGCCACACTACCGTCGCCCACCCACCCAGACAGACAAGAGTAATCGGCCAGTCGATGCATGCAGGACTACGCCATCGGTGCGAGTGTATGACACGCCCCCCCCCCCCCCCC